AGAATGGTTTGGGTTGGAAAGGACATTAAGATCATCTATTTCCAATCCCCTCCCATGGGCAGGGACATCTCACACTAAACCATGTCACCTGAGACTCCGTCCAACCTGGCCTTGAACACCACCAGCGACTGGAGCACTCAGCTTCCTCAGGCAACCCACTCCAGTGCCTCACCACCCCAACAGTAAAGAACTTCTCATACCCAATCTAAACTTCCCCGCTTTAAGTTTTAACCTGTGACCCCTTCTCCTATCACTACAGTCCCTAGTGAAGAGTACCTCCCCAGCATCCTTTTAGGCCACCTTCAGATACTGGAAGGCTGCTATGAGGTCTTCACGCAGCTTCTCCAGGCTGAACAGCCCCAACTTTCTCAGTGTTTCTTCATACAGGAGGTGCTCCAGTCCCCTGATCGCCCTTGTGGCCTCCTCTGGACTTGTTCCATGTCCTTTTGATGTTGAGGACACCAGAACTGTACACAACACTCCAAGTGGGGTCTCACAAGAGCAGAGTAGAGGGGCAGGATCACCTCCTTATGTCCTGATGAGTGATCTCTCCTTGTCATTATCTCGACCCACGAGCCTTTCATTATCGTCTTCTCTTCCCATCCATCTGAGAAGGAAGAGTGATAGAGCAGTTTGGTGGACACCTGGCCTCCAGCCAGGATCGACCCCCCACAATCTTTTCTATTGCCTAGCAAGACTACCTGCATCTATTAATTTGTTAGAAGTAACAATATTATTGACAGCAACCTGAAATGAACACAGAAGTCTTCTTATATTCCATGTCAGAGATCAGAAACAAAACACTGAAGTTTTATCTCTCCAGCACAGAATCCAGACTTTTAGAAACAGAATGGAAAAAAAAAAAAAAAAAGTTAGAATTTCCTCCTTTTGGTTTGTTTGGGGGCATGGGGAGGGGGAGCATCTCTTGACACCAGTTGGTAGCAATTGATTCATCCATTGCTAGAACAAACCAGCCATCATGTCTTTGTTTCCCAGTTACCACACCCCTGAAATGCTAGATCTCCTGCTGTCTGCACATACAGGCTTTCATGTTTTCAGTCCAATGCAGAGATTGCATCTGTTTCAGAGATGAGAGATACTTCATGTACCCCTGCAAGATGTCTGGTTTATGTTCCTGCTTTAAAACAGACATCATTCTAACTGAATATTCACTCTTTTTTTATGGCAAGCATCTTTTAACAGGTTACTAGAGCCTCTCTGTAGAAAGCAGAGGGATACAAGAAGGTTGCTTTTCCATGCATATACTGAATTGATATCAGTTACTACAATTCAATGCATGAGTTGTATGAACTTATGTGGTTAAATACAGGATAAACAAATACTGGAAGAATGTCAGCATCATTCTTCGAAAGATATGGAAGCTACACAGTATGTACCAGGGTTTCTGTCAGCAAGCAAGGCAGCTTTCATTGGCCACAATGTTCTTCCAAAAAAAGATGAGCAATCCTTTGAGAATACAACAGAGTCTTGGGTGGTGTTTTTTTCCTCCCTCTTCCAAGTGGTTAAACAAAGAACTTCACTGTCAAAAGCCAAGACTAACAGTTTATACTGTACACTTGCAGACAGAAGAAATTAATAGAATGCTCTGGCATTCTGACCATGACTGAATAAAATCCTACACTCAGGCATAACTCTTCAGAAGAACAACAGGTAACTATTGTCTGAAATAGCTTGATGGTGCTCTAGTCACCTGCTAAATTAACTATGGCACCCAGACATCATTCAAAAGACTTAAAAAACAGTTTTGCACAGATGATGTTGCTCTGCTCCTGCAGCTCACCTCACCCCTCTACTCATTTCACACAACAGCTGACCTCTGTCCCCTGCTTCCCACCCCAGGCTTACCCCATCACAGCTCCAATGCAAAATAAAATCATAAAATCACAGAATAGTTAGGGTTGGAAAGTACCTTAAGGTCATCTAGTTCCAAACCCCAAATGTAAAATTTTAAATTATAAGGTTTATAACTGCAGACAACGAGTTGAAGGTCCATGTACAATCTAAACTAATCGTAACTTCTGAATTCATCTATCAAATCTTTTCAATGCCAGAATGAAGGTAAAGTACATGACAACTTCTGTTCATTGAAAGCTTCAATGAAGTATTCTCAGAAATCTATCTTAATACCCTAAACCAATTTATACAGCCTACTGCAGCAATCACCGAATTGCAGGCTGAATAAACTCAATTACCCTCCTCTACTGAGCAAAGAGCAAACTGACCACCTCATCAGTCCAAGAGAAAGATGCCCATCTATTTTTATCATAACAGTCCTATCTGTCCTTAGTGAGGAAAGGCTTTGGTGCATAACAGCATTTTCATTCACAAACTTCGCAAAACTTTTCCATTTTGCAGCTCACAAACAAATATAAGACTGCATGAAATCAAAGAAATGGGAGGGGTTAGGGTTTTCTTATTCTGTAGAAGGGAGGACAGTTCCTTCTCTCTTGCATTATAACTTGGGGCACAGTCAAGTTTTTAAGATTACCTTTTCAGAAAAACAAAACAAATCCCCCTAGTTTCCTCTCCTACAGATATAAATGATTTGAGAAATTATTTATAAAGCTCTGGGCCATTTTTAATTTTTGCTATTTCTCACAGAGATTTCAAGTGATAAAGACAACAGTATGTGATGTACAGTATCATAATGCCACCTACAAGTTAACACTCAGATTTAAATTAAGCTAATGTCTGAGTCATCTAGCAGTTGTCTAAGCAGCAGTGGAAGTGTATAGCACAAACCTAAGCTATAATTTGCATCATTTATCACAGTGATTTGTCTTCAAATATCTAAAACTGCTAAAGATATTGCAAATTATAAGCTAATATAATCACTGCAGAAGTAGAGGAATGTAACTGATGGTAGGTATGCAGATGAGATGGACGACAGGTTGGAGCCTGGAGATTCATGCGGTTGTTGCCACACTGTTCAGGGCTTCTCTCAAGAGGTGACATGGCCCTTACATTAAAAAAAAACATATATATATATCAAAAAAGCAGCACAGGACGTCAGCATACTCTATCTCTCCCATACTAATTCCTCTGTTTTGATTTTGCCCTTACAATTGTTCTTTATGTTCTTTGACTGACAGACAGGTTAGTTTTGACTAAAAGATTACCATTACCACTACCCAAATTTGTATGATGACTTGAAAGCATCCAAGCAAAACTCAGCACTACTTTTTTGCCTAGGTACACAAAAGGTTTCCCAAGCATAAGTCTTAGAAGTCTTAACTGTCTTAAAGTCAACTGTCTTTTAAGTTTAAAAAACAAACAGAATCAGAGCTCAAATAAACAAAAGTATACAGTCCATATGATCAAACTTGGCCCATAAATTAAAATACCTGATTCTGAAAACCAGTTCTTACAAGAGTTACTGCAGGCAACTCTTCATCAGTTAAACCTCATCCCAGTGAGGACAAAGTTAGGGCTGAGAACACAAACTGGTCATGATAGTTAATCCATAAAACTTAATTCCTTTCTACAACTGGATGTGAACTGTATACTGAAGTCATTTTGCTTTAAAGTGATCCCAAAAGGCATTACTCTGGGACATCTGTGATATTGTGTGTGTGTACTAGGCTTCTGGTATCAAATTTTACAGCATGAAGTGAAAAGGTCTTGAAAAGAGTCAACTTGCCTGCTTTAAAATTTATTTATGCGCCAACTATTCCCCAAAGCCCATGCAGTAAATACATTTAACACAGAAAGCAAAAATTGTGTCACTTTCCTTTTTTGTTCTGTATTTCATTTCTAACAGCAGCAATTGCCCTGACAATGTATAGAGTAAACAGGAGATGAGGCTGATGTCTTTCTTTTTCTTAACCTTGTTGAAGAGCTGGCTACAATGGAAGTGAGATAACAGAACATACCATGCAAATTAAAAGTTAGGCCTTTAGAGGGAACAATGATCGTTATATCCTATATGAAATTTAGTGGAGCTGACTTGTTGTTTGCTTCTGTAATTTATCGATTCATATTACACAATAAAACATATTTCACAGTAAAACTTCAGCAGTAGTCATGACTAAGGATTAAAAATTCCTACATTCCTCATTTTCTTCCAGCCCTTCGAAAAGAACCAGCTACTCTAACCATTAACCTGTGAAAGACACAAAACCACCCCTAGATATTCTACATCTCTATTTGTACATAATTTGGGTGTTACATCATTTAGGTTATTATTCATCACCGCTGCCAATACTGTACCTTTTCTAAAGTTTGGTGCAGACTCAGCTTGAAGGCCTCCAACATCAGAGAACCAATGGAAGTTCTGTAATTTTTGGTATGAAGTCAATTAAGGAAAATATTTTAATAAATAAAGTTACTAACTCTGTAATTTGTCAAGATGGCAGCTACCCTCCAGATACAATATGCCTTTCCAGGATAGTTTATTGGTTTATTTTCCCAAAAGACACAATGCTGAGTATTACTGCACCAATATTTAAGTTATTTTTACTTCTACAAAAAGCACGTTGTTTATGCCCTGCACTCCACTTTCAGAACAACCAAATAAATGTCTTTAAATATTCTGGTAACTATCACAGAGAATTTATAAAGCCTCAACTTAAACCATGGATTAGAGAAGGACAATTTTATGTTGAGACCATGCAGCATCTGCATGGAGTGAGACCTGTTTTGTGAAAAAAATAATGACTGGAATTCTTGTCATCCCAGAAACAGTCAAGAATTCAAGTCAAATTTACCAAACAGTTATGGTTGCAATAAAAATGGTCAGGGGGAGGAAGGATCAAAGTGTGAAAAACATATCCAAGCCGTAAAGGGGATTGAAGTTTTCAGAAAAGAACCTAGATAAGTCACTCCTGATGTATTTTGACTGAAATTCTCTCATTCTACATAATTTCTTTTTACAGAATCTTAAAAAGCCTGGCACAAGGAAAGGTACACACCACTGGAAAACATAAGCTGCTTTAAAAGATGCAGAAAGCAAACAGGAAGAAATCCAGCAATATTTGTACCATTCAATCCACATGCTTGTTGTTTTCCCATCGGGATCGCCCGTCTTCTCCTTAAAGCATTTTGAAGGATATTTGCACCATAAACAATATGGGGATAAGGTGTCCCCTCCTTCTGTGGATGCTTTTTAATGGGCTCAATGAAGTAATCCCCGTGGGGCAGATGGAAATATCCAGTCTGAAAATAAATACAAAAGAGTTAATCTCCACTGTCCAGGAGGGGAAATCACAAGTAAAATAGACTCTTTCGTATCACCTTCCCTGACCTTTTCTCATAAGCCAGTCATTACACTGCAGAAATATGAAAACAACAGGTTTTCAGCCATTATATTGCTGCATACATCAAGGTTGCTTTGTACCTTAAAAGGCAAAAAAGTCCAAAGGGGAATAGAAAAAATATTACTTCCTAATAATCTGAGACCCTGTATACCGACACAGATTTGTGTAAAGCCGCTGAAAGGTCAAAAGTCAACTTGCCAAACATGATACATTAGAAAGAGTTGCATCTTCTTCTTCTGCCAGTTTGCATCCATCCCCCAGAGAACAAGCCCTGAAAGGAAGCTGTTTCATGAGTTCAAAGTGTAATTCTCCTAGCTGCAAATCCACAGTCACATTACACAACCCATGAGACGGGCTGGACTGTGTGGTCCCCTCTTGACCCAGACTACAAATCCCTCTGGGCAGGCTTCCAGGGAAGAAATTAGTAGCTTTTCATGAATTATGCTTGGAGCAGATGCTCCTGGAAGGCATGCTGAGGCACATGAAAAACAACAAGGTGCTTGGTGACAGCCAGCATGGCTTCACTAAGAGGAAATCCTGCCTGACCAATTTGGTGGCCTTCTATGATGGGGCTAAGGAACTAATGGACAGGGGTAGAGCAGTCGATGTCATCTATGGACTTGTGCAAAGCATCTGACACTGTCGCACACGACATCCTTGTCTCTAAATTGGAGAGACATCAGTTTGATAGGTGGACCACTTGGCGGATAACGAACTGGCTGGATGGCCACATCCAAAGAGTTGTGGTCAATGGCTCAATGTCCAGCTGGAGACCAGTAACGAGTGGTGTCCCTCAGGGATCGGTGTTGGAACCAGTCTTGTTCAACATCTTCGTCACTGACATGGACAGTGGGATTGAGTGCGCCCTCAGCAAGTTTGCCGATGACACCAAGCGGTGTGGTTCAGTTGATACGCTGGAGGGAAGGAATGCCATCCAGAGGGACCTCGACACGCTTGTGAGGTGGGCTGATGCCAACCTCATGAAGTTTAACCATGCCAAGTGCAAGGTCCTACACCTGGGTCAGAGCAATCCCGGGCAAAGCTACAGGTTGGGTAAAGAACAGATTCAGAGCAGCCCTGAGGAGAAGGACCTGGGGGTCTTGGGCGATGAGAAAATGAACATGAGCCGGCTTCAGTGTGCGCTTGCAGCCCAGAAAGCCAACCGTATCCTGGGCTGCATCAAAAGGAGCGTGACCAGCAGGTCAAAGGAGGTGATCCTGCCCCTTTATTCTGCTCTCATGAGGCCTCACTTGGAGTATTGTGTACAGTTCTGGTGTCCTCAACATAAAAAGGACATGGAACTGTTGGAACAAGTCCAGAGGAGGCCACGAGGTTGATCAGGGGACTGGAGCACCTCCCGTATGAAGACAGGCTGAGAAAGTTGGGGCTGTTCAGCCTAGAGAACAGAAGCTGGAGAACTCATAGCAGCCTTTCTAGTAGCCTTCCCCATGCTGGGGAGGGACTCTTCATTAGGGACTGTAGTGACAGGATGAGGGGTAATGGGTTAAAACTTGAACAGGGGATATTTAGATTGGATATAAGGAAGAAATTCTTTACTGTAAGGCTGGTGAGGCACTGGAAGGGGTTGCCCAGGGAAGTTGTGAATGCTCCATCCCTGGTGGTGTTCAAGGCCAGGCTGGAAGGAGCCTTGGGTGATACGGTTTAATGCGAGCTGTCCTTGCCCATGGCAGGGGGGTTGGAACTAGATGATCTTAAGGTCCTTTCCAGCCCTACCTGTTCTATGATTCTATGATTCTGAATGTCTGGTTATTTGACCTTTTTTTTTTTTGTTGTTGTGTTTTTTAACTCAGCTGGAACGAGTATGAAGTATCTATCTTCACTGCAGACCCTGATTTTACATGGCAAGCTGATTAGTCACTGGACTATTGTGTCAAAGTTGCATCTGTAAGAAGAAAGGCCAGGTGATCAAGTAAAAAATTAAGTCTATCAACAGTTATCTCATTTCCCAAGCTCCCCCAGCAATGCTTGCATGTTAAAATTCAGTTCTCCATCCACTAGGCCAGGTTGCTTCAAGCTCCATCCAATCTGGCCTTGAACACTGCCAGTGATGGGGCAGCCACAGCTTCTCTGGGCAGTCTGTGCCAGTCTTACCATCCTCACAATGGAGTTGGGTTTTTTTTCCCAGTATCTAATCTAAATCTCTCCTCTGTCAGTTTAAAGCCATTCCCTCTTTGTCCTATCTCTATATGCCCTTCTAAAAGTCCTTCTCCAGGTTTCTTGAAGGCCCTCTTTAGATATTTGAAGACTGTTAAAAGGTCTCTCTGTAGCCTATTTACTGCTCTGCTGCATAGGCTTCTTTATTTTGATAGATAACTGAATAGGCACAGAAACATGGTTAGCAACACTGTTCTTCTCTGTGTTGTAATTACTACCTTCCTGCTTGTCTTCTCTTTATTACATGAAGCAAGGTCCTCCTGTACTTCATGCAGAAGAAGTGGACATTTTTCACGTTCCTTAATTTCTGGAAAAGGCCATGTCTGTGGGTCACATCTCCCCTGAAGAAAGCTGCCTTGTGCATGTGTAACTTCAGTATGATAGCTTTAACATTTGTTCTTTTAAAGTGGTTGATAAGAGCCAGAACTTTCATACTTGTTGTCTACAGACTGCTGAATCTTGGGAAGCTAAAGGCTGCTCCCAAACTTGACATACAGAGTGAAGTCACTGTAGAGCATGAAGAAATATGAAAGCCTGTTTTACCACGGAGACACTTCTGGTTTTGCAGAACACGGTCAATTCACAGTTAAACTTGCCACAACAGCTCCTGACACCTTGGGACTATCAGAAAATCTCTGCTTTTTGAAAAGCAACTAAATCCATAGAGTAGCAAAACAGCTAGAAGCAGAACTTCTGCCAGTACAGCATAAAACAACAAGAACCCTAGGTATATTTTCAACAACAGTACGTCCTCACAACCAGCTGATGGGATAGCACTGAAAGAGAGGTCTACTGTACTAAACAGCCCACTGATCGAGCATCTCTGAACTAGAGGCACAGCTTGTTGCAGTTTCTCTGCTTTTAGATCTGACCTTACAATGAGTGATGAAAACCAGTTTTAACTACAGCTTAAAAAGTGGTTCGTTGGACAGGAAGGTTCTTTCTTTTACTCCTGTTGCTTCTTGCAAATACCAGTATCATGATTTCAAGGCTAAAAGTTGGCAGACTGGTGATCTGCATCAAATTCTTGGCTTAACACAGCAAAATGTTTGGGAACAAGGTATCCTTGCCTCTTTCCTATCCCCACCTACTTATTTCTGCCATGAAATTATGGCCATGAGTCCCTCCACAGTGCAGTCTGAGGAGGGAGGAAAAAGAAGCAAGAGTACATTGAGCCCATATTCCCTCTAAACTCATGATAACAAGATCCTGACATCTTGATTTAAATTATGCAGCAGAGCTGTCACTCACTATGAGACTGAACAGCCATTTAGCACTTGGTAATCCTCACTGAAAAACCAACTTAGAAAGCACCACTGTTGCACTAAATTTTCTCCTGTTTTCAGTCAGTCTACAGACTAAAGCCCAGCTCTACTCGCAGTATCTAAAAAGCCTGCAAAGGAAAGGCTGGTGTGCTACTGTTCTTATTCAAAAGATCCAGCAGAACATAGTTTCAAAGTACTATGCTTCTAGGTATGGTGACAGATTGCAATTCGTAACAAAAAGAAATTACTTCATAGTTCTCATGGATTTTAAATTCTAGTAGTGACAGAATTTACATAATTAAACTTCCTACTTTGTCTGTAACAAATTCCTCAATAAAGCAAGATATTCATAAGTAATCTTTCCTTTCACTTAAACTTTGTGCTTTAGGAATTTCTGAAAGAGTCTGAAATTTGGATGAAACAATCACCACTGAAATAAAAAAAATAATGACAAATGCCATTATATCCTACACAGCATTTAAGAGCTATCTACACTCTCCCCAGTAAAGAGAGCTGCCCTGATGTGTTCCCTGCTACTCCACAGAGAGAGAATTACTGTAAACAGGCCAGATTTTCTCTCTCTGAAGGGTCAGTCAGTGTGTTACCAAAGCAACAGACTACTCCCTTGACTGTTTCAACGTATGGCTATTCTCTATCCATGTTGCTAGCCTGAAGTCAAAACACACCTTCTCATGTGTCTTGGAACTGTAGTTGTCATAGTGGCACGCAGAGAAAGTGAGCTGGAAGAGAAGATGGAAACAGAAGTACAATGATCTGAACAGATTCTATGGCCCATATTGCTGCTCCCAGCCACCAGTGAGAGAGGAGATTAGGGTCCTTGAGACCAGCATCTGAAATACAGCTCTGTCAGTGTGGTACAGAAATGTTTCATGTCCTGTGTTATCTGAATTAACATAAGCCAAACCAAAATCCTAATCAAAATCTAAAAGCTTTGTTTATCCTGAAATTATTATTTTTTTGATTGGCTGTCAGGTAGAAACCACAATTTTCATTCCTGTTCAGAATCAACAAGAAGAGCACACACAGTTAAGTTCTAAATAATTAATAACAAAAAAAACCTAAAAATCCATCAATTACATGATCTATCAGTTGGAAGCATAAACGTCCTGTATCTTATCAATAATGCATAAAATTGTCATTATTTTAACCATGAGAAATACTGTTCTTTCAGAAATAGTCCATTACTGTAAAAAAATAAGTATTTTATATTTAAAATCCTGAACTACTGGAGCAAACAATATGTTTTTATTAATTCAATTTGCTGCTCTTGTAAAGTGTTATAGAGATACCTGTGTAAATTTATAAGTAAAGTCAATTAAGGACATCAGAGTGGAAAATGCGCTGTGCACACCAGTGCTGCTTGGGATTAAACGACTGTAAAAGTCTGCTTCCAGCACAGAGATGTACTTTCCACCAGTTTCCAGAGACTCCCAGCACT